CTGACATATACAAAACGCCAACCACTCTACTGTGATGCTAGCGTGTATAAAGTAAACGATGAGAACATCTCAGTTTATTGAGCAACTCTCACTGTTACCAATCTCAGCACATTGAAGAATGCGCTACCTATCATCCGCATATTGTGCTGACGTTTTGCTCAAGCTACAAGGATGACTTCGTGCCTGCTGGAAGGTATAAATATGTCTACTTAGGTACTTTTATCCGACGACAGAATGTCCAAACAGACTAACCTACCAGCTGTAGATATCTTACAGTTTATTAAGCAGTTTGATCTTACAGTTGTCGCCAACCTACACGCCATAGTGAACCTAGCTGTGACATACCATTTGCGATCGCACGCGAGAAAGGGCCCGGGCATAAAGGCACGGCTTGTAGCCGCTATCGGATTCAACTACGGCTTTCTCAGTGCAGCTTGATCTGGTATAGGCTACAGAGAAAATAAGCTCTGTGAACTTGGGTACTATCGCGCGCGCACTGTATCTTGGGTCTTCACCGGGCCGACGGAAGTGGGCATAGCAAACTCCAGACATCAATGCGTCCGTGCCATATTGACACATCCGACAATCCGCCTACTCACTCAAATGGGTGGTGTGCGTCAAAGCAGACAGGCTAGTCAAATCAAAACCCACAGTTGATGGTGTTCGGCTTCGTATGGCGCAACACCGGAAGGCGTTGGCTTTTGTAGGCGAAAGATTTTATCAGGTCAGCTGGACCGATTGATGCAAGCAGGCCTGTGCACGTATGTCACCACGCCACTTAACATATGAGTTGGTGCGAAAGGGCGATCCAGGAATCGCACCATGTACGGTCTGAGACAAGGGGAACGTTTGGGTAAACACGTTACCTTGACGAGGCCGGATCAGTGATAGTAGGTCAATGATCTACTCCACATGCGTTTTTGAGCGGACTGTTAATTTTCTGGCAGACAGAAGCCTCCTAACCTCTCCATATTCCTACAGTATTCTCAAGAAGTTAACTGTGTAAACAGCCGTTTTCGGCTACTGTCATCAAATCTTACAATCCAATGCACTATGTGCGAATTATATGTGAAAATCAGAACCACTGGCTCGTTAAAATGCACAGACGTGGGGTGGGTCACAGTCTAGCGGAACGGAAGAGGGAGGAATTTGTACGAGTTGTTTGTATACACAAGTGCGTGGGGAGTGGAGTCTGATGATTGCGGTTGCTTACAGTCACACTCCAACAGAAACCTCTTAAAAATCCAAGACGTTTCCAAAAAAATTAACTAACTCATAAGTCATTTTATCTCGCTGTATTCCCCGAATAGCGCGGAGGATATTGTTCACGTGGTTTTACTGCACCTTTGAATTCCGTCAGGCCCTCGAGACTGTACAGGCTAATGTGTGGACAAAAAAAACCTTTTGTCTAGTTAACCCTCCCGCCAGATTCAGAACAATTTTGACCCGTATTCAAGTGTACTCATAATTTCTCCACAACTACGATTGTCCGTTTTCCATGCGGTTTTGGAATTCTTAATGTGAGTTTACACAAGCTTTTGTGTGCAGAGGTCCGTTACTATTTAATGCCAGGCTGATTTGTCACAACATCTCCACTGGTTAATTTGTTTCTATCACTCATCCGACAAAACGTTTTACTTTCCACAAACATTTCAGGATTGAGTCACGTGTTCCCGTGTTTCACTGAACCATCGACCGTTGTGCCCGACCATGACTTGACGGTATGACTCATCTTAGTGATCATGAGCTAATTTAGTTTTTTTTACTGTCATCAAACCTACCTCATCACTACTTCCTCTTCAATAGACAACCCATTAGAACATCTGTAATTGCTCCACAGTTGAGGGGAAATTAATCTCTTTTAGCCTATTTTTTGTACAATATAGCTGTTTATCTTCCGCTTTAAATTCGACCGGTATTCGACCCAGTAAACTGATGGACAATACATAATTTAACGGAGTTCACATACGTCAGTGTGACCAGTGTAACACTGGATAGTTACCACCGAAAATACAAAATTGTCTATAGTGACAGTTGGAAATGTGTCTGGAAAATTCAGTTCATACTCTACTTGAAACAGTGGACTCCCCCTATCCAGTCTATAAAAACAGCAGAGAGATTTAGTGTCTCCGTTTAACACACCAGTCATTGGCATGCTCTTCAAGTGAATTGAGTGAATGGACAAGTTAACCGATTAGTCCCATCATAATTATTTCATCACTTTCAATGAAAATAAATGGTTTACACAAATGATTGTTTTTCACACAAGACTGCTCGGTAATGTTTGATCAACATGGTCTTAGTGAATACAAACCTAGTAAAATTTGAACAAAACAGTCAGAAAACGAAAACTGATAGATGCAAGCATTTCGTATTGACTCATCAGTACCAAATTTACAATAACATGAAACGGCTTTTTTATATCGAGCAGTTTAGGGATGGGTTGGGTGGATAGTCAATCGGTCGGATAAGAAAGGTCACTAAGTCCAGGGAAGGGTCAAGTTTACGAGCAACTGTTTCTGAACACACAGGGTCGGATTTAGTCGATTGATTGTGACAGTTTCAGCAAACCGTAAGAATCTTGCATTCGAGTGACGTAATAAGATTCTGAATGCACAAACTGGGTCGATAACGTGTCCAGTGGTCAGGACGTGTTTTGCGACTGCGGACGCTGATTGCTTGCGTGTTTCAAAGACATTGTCGTTCTTCTGTAATACAGAATTCTGTTCCCACTTGGGCAAATGTTCCTTCACTCTGGAGATCAAGCACCTCCCGGTTCTGCATATGTAACTTTTTGCAGTTACATGTTTGGTGGATTCCCTATGAGACAGTGGGACGGGTGGGTAACCGAGTCCAAATGTGAAATTTCCGAGCTCCTGGCGTGGCTTCGTAGCCCAGGTAGTAGAGCGCTTGCCGCATTGAGGCATGGTGTTTCTGTCGCTGGTTCGAATCCAGCCGAAGCCCTGACTTTTCACAATTGGGTCTCATCTGAAGTTACATGTAAATTGGTGGATACAATGTGAGGTGGCACAGACAGGCTGATCTCCTTTGATTGAAGGGACAGGCAGTTTCTGAGTCCGAGCTAATACACAGAGTTCCGTTGCGTTAAACGTCCGTTTAATTGAATTCACTGGTCGTTGAGTTGTTTGATGCACGTTATAATCACCTTTAAAAGGCAGTTCTATATAAACATTATTACGTCACTCGAATCCAAGATTCTTACGGTTTGCTGAAACTGTCACAATCAATCGACTAAATCCGACCCTGTGTGTTCAGAAACAGTTGCTCGTAAACTTGACCCTTCCCTGGACTTAGTGACCTTTCTTATCCGACCGATTGACTATCCACCCAACCCATCCCTAAACTGCTCGATATAAAAAAGCCGTTTCATGTTATTGTAAATTTGGTACTGATGAGTCAATACGAAATGCTTGCATCTATCAGTTTTCGTTTTCTGACTGTTTTATTCAAACTTCTGAAAAGAATCAACTGTTTTAAATAGTAAAATTTCTCAGAGCTATTTAGTTAAGACAGGTTGAACTCCTCATGTTGTACTTCCGTTGTCGATGAGCCGTAACCCCCAAAATCAGATATACCATCACTGTCGAAAGACAGAGCATACTGGCACGTGCAGGCAATATTCACATCATAGTTAGCGTGGGTTGCGTTGTGGTGTTCTCACCCGGTCACCCATTTTCTAAACTAATTATCCAAAGTATTGCATCAAGTGAGTGTTGACAAAACTACATTAAATATCTTGAATACCTCAACAATAGTGGAACGCAAAAGTTTTTATTCCATCATGTGCTTTGGTGATCGGTTTCCTCTCATACAAACTGAGAGATATGGCTTTTATTCTCCAAGGCTCATGAAAATACTTTCAACTGCACACGCACTAAGATTCTGTCCGGATTGTTCAAGTTCTAATTGGATGTATCACTAAATAAACCTCTTGGAACTTGAAAGTGATCATCTTGTGAAAAGGCTTCACAAAGCAGTGATGCATAGTATTTTGTTTTCCTAAAAGTATTTCAATTATTTCGTACAGTATATGTATGTTACCGTCTTATTGGAGTGATCGACATCTTACAGATCAGATAATGTAGACTTCAATACTTAGGTGGAGGGTTTATGAGCAAAGGCGTTGAGTTTAAAAATGATGCGCAAGGCTTAAAATGGGTGTGCTTGACAGGTAACTGCACAAAAAGGTCTATGATTGAAACGCAAAGTTCAAAATGAGGGTGTGAAATTTAACTGGGACGGCGAACTTGTCTGGCCACAGTGCTAATGCTGGAAGATAAAAAACCGATCGGATGTGGCCAAGCCCAGGGATCGAGATAGACGTCTACCACAAATGGACTGCTATTGTGCGATTGTGTTAGGGCGCCCACCCTGTTACTGTCCCAAGGCGCCTCCGCCGTAAGAAAGAAAAAAACGATTGACTTTTCCTAGTTAGCCGACCTGCTCAAAGCGGCCGAGAGGGTGGCCTTGGCTAGTTTTTACTCGTCAGACTTTTTACGCCGTTGTGCCCATTAGTGAACCCAACTATTTTTTTCCGATAAATGTCCTTCTCTTTGTATGATTCGGGAATGTTCTTATGGCCACTACGCACCCTATAAGTACTTTGCCTTTGTCGCCTTTGTCACCTTTGTCGCCTTTGTCGCCTTTGTCACCTTTGTCGCCTTTGTCGCACACGTTTTTGGGGCGGATCAAAGCTACTTTTTGTACGTGTCTCTTGGCTTGTCTTGAGAACGAATACGAGGACAGTCGCAGTACATTTCGGGACCGAGATTTCCGTGTTAATTAGTACCGGGACGAGAACCCGAATTCTGCCAAGCGCACTCCGATATCAAGATCGAACCAACGTATCGCTTAGGAGGGTTTACAACATAGTGTAAATCTGAATAGGCAAAAATGTGATCTACATGGTATTTGTCTAACAGTTGGCGTCATCTGATTGATGGTTGTCTGTCAGGATCATTAGATGAAGGAAGACTGGTGGTGCTAGGCCAAACAAATATTGAGGCATGTGATTGTGCCCAGACGTATTCAATCTCCGTAAGGCATGAAAATACTTAGCACTGCTTACTAAATCAGACAGGTAGTCTAAATTGCACATTTGTCCGCCATAATCTACCCTTTTGTAGCGATTAGAAAGCCAATGAAAACCGGTTCCACTATTGAGAACACTTGCTTTGCAGCACTTTATCAGGACTTAATGTTTGATGACAACAGCTAGGAGATCCAAAGCAGCGTTGGTGCATATGTGCTCGACATGCCTATCCGATCTTTTGCAATGATTATAATACGTTAACGAGGATAGAGCTTTCAGACTGCGTTTTTGAGAAGAGAGATCGAAATTCAAGGTCGATGACTGAACCGTCGTCTAGTAAATAGCCATCGATTAGAATTGAACAAATTGTAGAAAATCTAATGTCCACAAGGAGAAACTGTCGCTAAATAACGTAAATTGATAGCCACTTGCGAGGAACGCTCGCGACAAGATAAGGGAAGCAATCGAAAATGGAAAAATCACAACAGGAATAACCAAAATATTTGCTGAATTTTGCACGTCTAAAAATACACTTATCACCGAGTGGAATACGTTATATCAGACAACGGTCCTTCCGAAGCAAACTCAAATCAATTCGATCACCAAATTTTAATGTTGGATAAATAGCGTCAGAAACTGAGCAGCTTGATAACTACATTAACACACTGTGTGATGTCATGCGACCAAACGGAGGGAAAGAAATGAAATTATCCTCCAAGCTGCATGATTTTCGTGCATCGCTCAGTTTGAGAGTGAAAACTTGATTGATAATGCAGCTCTACTGAAATTTCGGTTTAAGCGTCCGTTGGAGTGTATAACTTACACAACTTCCGGACAGTCATCAAAGTATTGGAATGAAATCTCGTTGAATTGAGCCGTCAACGGCGCGCAAATTGAGTTTCATTAATTGAAAAAACATTTGACATTGCGCTTTTTGGTTTGTTAGAGCACTGAAAGAGTTTATTTGAGCACCGTATTAAACTACTGATTTCACTCGACACCGACTAATTTAGTCGAGATTGCTACCACAGATCGAGTGGCCGATTTACCAATCAAAAATCACACAATTAGAAGGCATGTTGGTGAAAAATGTAACCATCCGACCAGAGAGCATAAATCTCACACAACTTCCCAACGAATTTCCCAACAGACACATATATCGTCTATGGATTCATTTAAATGTTCAGCATCAAATCTTGCTTAAAACTGTCTGGTTGTCATCAGAATGAATTCACGTTCCCACTATCTTCACTTCTAGGATTTGCATAACCATTTTTGGTTCCGACATTCACGACATTTGTCACGCTCTGTCTGCATTACTAAATATGGCCTTGAAATTACGACGCTCTTACGAACTGGTGGGATGAGTTGGCAAACTGTAGAACAGTTTTATTTATCGACCGATACGGTTGTTTTGAAGAGAGTTGAAAGGTTAGTACTGAACCGTTATATGTAACAAATTATGAGGCTTCCAATGTATACTGTCCTCTAATAATTGGCTCAATACTGCGTTCTGTATGTGCTCCCTTATATGCTCAACAGATGGGCCCTAGACACAGATAAACTTCTCATAGGATATTGCTAGAAAGCGAATGTTTATTTTGACCTTTTGTGAAGTGAGCTATGTATGTGAATTCAGACCACTTGCCGTATTCTTTGAAAGCATCTGCTACTTAAAGGAGGCGGAATTTCACTTTTTATCAGACGGGAATTTACAATGTTAAGAAACTCGTGCCGATTGAGCTTTCAGTCAGCATCGTATCAGGTGGGTCAACATCCTTCTCTGTGTAGGCTGGTTTTAATCGGTCACGTCCGGAAACGTCCTTCATCTCCTCATTGTACTGCTGGGCTGTGGCCATTTGAGACAAATCGAAGGAAGGAGGTGATTGGACTGGGTTGACATCAGGTCGTGATAATGTATCAGCAACGATATTGGCGTCACCACGTAGGTGTCGGACGTCCGTGGCGAATTGATGGATGTGGTCCAAATGCCTGATTTCGCGCGGAGAGTACCGATCAGGTTTAGCATGAAAAGCAAAT